AGTGCTAGATCTCCCAGTGCCCAATTACATATTTGTTCAGTTTTTAATGTATTCGACAAAAATCTACTGGGAGCCTATTCTTGGCCGGGCTCTGTGCTGGTTGGTATTTTTCTTCATTATGGATTTTATTTTCAGTTTGTTCGTATGACTAGGGGTAGTAACTTACGAGGTAATTGCTTGAGTGTACAGCAGTGTCCTGGCAGTTTGAGAGAATATAATGCTTCTTATAACATTCAAGGCTCCTTTGGGTGCAAAAAGTTTTAAAGCTGCTGATCTGAACCATACTGTTGGGTCTTTTTTGTTTGTTTATTTAAGTACCATATTTTGCTATGTATAATGTTCACCCAAGTTTTTGGCCCAAATTTTCAGGGGGAAAAAAATCTTTAGTTTTAATTTTTTAATTCAAATTTTTGTTTATATTTAGGTACTTGTTTTTTGTATTATAAAGGAACTTTAGCATTTATTTATTGATTGATTTATTATTACACTTTTAACCCATAAGCATCAATAAAAGAATTAAAAACATTTATATAGATAAGGAATTAGTACTACCCATGTATAATGCGCATCCTTATTCCCTTACAAATTTGGGCAAAAAAATGTGCATTATACACTATACAATATGGTAAATTAAGGCAGCTTGAGGTTAGATTGCTGATGATATTGCACCTAGATCATGCAGAACTGGGGGCAAATCCTCTTTCTCTCTCACCTGGCTGTTGTGTTGTTACCACGCATTATAAGTGAAACAGAAGAACCCCAAATAGGTTCAAAAAACAAAACAAAACTGTAGAAAGCAGCCTTCTGAAGATTCAGAATTCATTAAGTTTTTTATGCATTATTCCCACCTGTTGGCTGTTAAGTTAGTAATAACTAAATTTTGCGTTTCTGTTAAGAATCTAGAACATTTTGGGAGTTTAAGAGTTTCAAATGCTGGTAACCTGTGAGTGGAACATCTTGAAACCTCTGTCAAATCAAAGGTTTACTAACAGCATCTCAGAGATCCTTGAAACCAACCTCAAGGAGAAAGGGTGTGTTTTGTCCACAGTATAACAAGTTACACTGAGCAACCTTCGTCTTCCTGGAATCAGACACAGGAAGTATTTGAATCCCTGATCTTCTAAAAATTGGAAGCCGTTTTCCATTGTGTGCTTGAGGCCTTCCTCTAACTGAGCTCAAACTTGTGCACGTGGGAGATAAAGTAATAGTCGTGNTCAGCCTGTTAATTTTATGGAATCTCCTGTTTGAGCTTAGCATTAAGGGTTACCTAGCCCCACTGTCCCAATACCTCTGGAGATAATGGAATGAGAGTCAGGTTTCATGCTAATTAGTTTGGCTGATTCTTACGGTATTACCTGCCTATAGTGTCACATGAAATTTAAAGTCCTAAGAAAAGCCTTTTAAAGTTTTGAATGGCCTTTATTTTATTCTGATCCTTTTATATTTATGATTTAATAAACCTCATTCCTTGTCATCTGATGAGCGCCTTGTTGCTCGCAAGGAGGGAGCAACATAGCCCTCCAAAGGAGTTGTCAGGCTTTTTTGGTTGACATTTTTCTTATTCCATATTCTTTCATTCCCATGCTTCCTGTACTGTTTCTCTTCCCAGTGTGATGTCTGTATGTGTCATGTGTTTGTATCCATTTTGTTTCACCTCGACACTGACGCCTTTCACCATTCGTTTTCAGTTCAATGCGAGTTCTGGGGGATGTTGTCAGGAGACCTCCCGTTCATAGGAGAAGGTACCGAGCTCCCTGATTTCATGGACTAACCATGTTGCCTCTGAGCATATACTAACAAGTGTCTCATTTTCCTGCTTACTCCGTGATCAAACAGTCTGTTTTTAAGTTTAAAAATGTCATGTCTGCTTCAGGCAAGTAAAATATAGGTGCTTGTTAATTGCTGATGTCCACTCCACATGAAATGGTTTCTTGAATTTCAAGATTTTTCCTATTATACTTTTTTTTTTTTTAACTTTATTGGGGAACAGTGTGTTTGTCCAGGACCCATCAGCTCCAAGTCAAGTAGTTGTCTTCAGTCTAGTTGTGGAGGGTGCAGCTCACTGGCCCATGTGGGAATCAAACCAGCAACCTTGGTGTTATGAGCCTGTGCCTGAGCTAACCGGCCGCNAATAACCTTGGAAACTGGATGCTAGCGTGGAGGGGACGCTTGTATGAGCTGGCGAGATCCAGCCCAAAAGGTATAAAGCATGCTTTGAGAAGGTAGCATGCTTGTGAAGTGTCATGTTAAACCTTTGAAGAGATTTCTCCTCCTAGCACAGGGCTTGTTTTCTATTCCAAAGCTAAAAGGGCTCATTAGTTCTCAGTTTTTAAATCTCTCTTGAGGAACTCTAAGTTTCTCTACTCTTCATTAAAACTTTGAGTAGATGGGCTAATTAGGAAAACTGAAGAAGGAAAAACATCACAGAATGCCTTTTTCTGTTCCCTGCTCCTTAGTCTGTAAAAATGCAAAATAAAGATACTCAGACAGTATAGTGCCATCATGTCCCTGCCAGAAACTTATCTCTGGATAAATTTATCTTTTGGATGCTGTGAAGCTCATTTTTCTCTCATCCATCAAATTATGAGTTCTGGTGTCTTTCAGCAAAATGGAGAATGGCAGGCTACCGGAATCGAAATCGCACAATTCCTGTTAGGCCAGGAAATAGCACCATCTCTTTATCAAAGACCCTGTTGCCAGGACTGATCATTTTATGTGCAGTTTGGCTTGACAACACTCAGTGAGTTCACAGTGAAATGAGAAAATAAAGAATAGATTTCTTCCACTTAAGTGTTTGTGGCCAGACTGTTGGCATTTGTGGCAGACGTTAGGTGGGGTCACGAATCATTCGACTTGTTTGAAAAGGCCACTAAAAACACAGACTTGCTTTTGGAATAGCAACTTCAGCACATCGTTCTTGTAGCCAAGCAAAAAACCTTGTTTTTAGTGAAAGCTTGTGGGGGGAAAAGAAAAAAATTAAGCCTAATACGATATGAATTTAGAGTTTTCGACTACAGAAACCCCAGGAGAAATAATGGATGGGCTGTCTTTGTTTCGCTTGATAGTGTTGACTGAGAGAACTGACCTGACTTAGATTTTGTTCCCCTCTGTACGAAAGGAAAAATTATGTACTTCTAGTCTAGTACCTCTAGTAAGAGGGCAGGAAGAGTTTAGACCTCGGACATGCCTTTACTGGAGGCTGTTTGCATCCAGCTGTGATCATGCTTTAAGAACGAAACCTGTGTTTGAAGCCGATTGTGGTCCTGCTCTCCACCGGATGTATGTGCTTTCCCCCCGTTACAGCCCGAGGAAGAGCAGTCGGTCTGTGACGTCACCGGGTCCAGTTCCTCCACTGATGACACAGCGTCCCTGGATCGACCTTCTTCTCATGGCAGCGATGTGTCCCTTCCCCAGATTTCAAATCTGAACAGGCCCA